TTTTTGGATTTTTTGAGACAGGGTTTCTCCGTAGCTTTTTTGGTTCCTGTCCTGGAACTAGCTCTTGTAGACCAGGCTGGCCTCGAAGTCACAGAGATCTGCCTGCCTCTGCCTCCCTTCTCATAGATGCACTGATTATGTGCATCTATGAGAAGGGAGAATAGAGTGCTGGGATTAAAGGCGTGCGCCACCACCGCCCGGCTTTAAATCATTTTCTTTCTTTTTTTTCTTTTTTTTTAGTTTTTCGAGACAGGGTTTCTCTATAGCTTTTGGAGCCTGTCCTGGCACTAGCTCTTGTAGACCAGGCTGGCCTCGAACTCACAGAGATCTGTCTCCCGAGTGTTTAAATCATTTTCGTAAGCAAATAAACATGCTGGTATTTTTCCCGGTTGAGAAACGTTCTCAGGCCAGGTACATGCCTGTAGAGGCTATCTCTCCAGAGCCAGAAGCAGGAAAACGAATGCAAGTTCAGTGCTAGGCTAGTCTATAAATAGTTCCAGGTCAGCCAGGAATACCAATCACACCTGTCTCAAAAAAAAAAAAAAAAAAAAAAAGTAAAAGAAAAAACATAGCAACACTCTAAAACTTCATGGCTAAAACTGCTCTTGTCTATTATTTCTGCTTGTGAAGAATCCTTAGTGACCTTTATTTGTGAGATTTTGCAGTTTTCTCCATAGTTCCAAGTCATACTGAAGAAACCGTAGGCTTGGTTCAAGGTTAAAGGTTAACATGACAAGTACGAAAACTGCCCTGAAAAGTGAAGTGCTGAAGAATCAGTCCCTGGCGTCATCTCTGGAAGAAAATGAAACACAAAAATGGTTTTGGGAAATTCAATGGCAGAACTGAAGAACCTGCTGCGCTGGAGTGCAGATGTGGCCCCAGGCTGTGAGGGCTCAGAGGGGATCTGGAAGTGTGTTAGAGCTTGTGCCTTCCGAGGGAGCTGGCAGAGAGCTGTGATCTAGCCATGGTCACTCTCCTCTGTAATCCCAGCTCCTGAGAGGCCGAGACACAGGGTTTATCACAAGCTTGAGGCCAGCCTGAGGGACAGAGTGAGACCCTGTTTAAAAACAATAAGCGTGGGAATCTGGAGGAGGAGCTCGGGGTAGAGTGCTTGCATAGTGTCAGTAAATACAGTCTCCACCGATGTTTACCCTAGATGAGGAAAATGGCTCTGTGAGAAAGTTGCCTGTCAGCAGCAGGCAGGTTGCAGAACAATAGAGCACTGAGTTTTGAGCCTCCGACAGCTTTGTTCTTTGTTTTTTTTTCTGAAAGAGGAACCGTGGTCATGAGGCTGAAATTGTATGAGGTCTGGGGATGTGCCTGTCTTGCTTCCTCTAGCCACAGTGTATGGGACCTGTACAGTAGGTACTTGGGCGTTTCAGTTCCTGTTTCTGGCACAGAGAGTTGAAGCAGAGCTCTGTATCGCTTCCTAAGCACTCCACCACTGAGCTGTCATCCTAGCCCTAGCGAACGCTTTTGGTAGGATGAATTGAAACACCTCACGGGTTTTTAAATGAGACCATGACTTGAAGAGGCAAGCTTCAGTGCTAAATACAAGTACAGGAAACACACTGATTCTCAACGCACTGGACAGTCCAGTGACCGAAGGGAGGCTAGGTCAGTGGAAGGCTGTATTTTATGTTCGCTGTCTAAGCACAGTTTTGAAGGCCTATTCGCCACTGCAGGTATTTTAACTAGACTTTAATGTATAAGCTGTCCTGAGAAAAATAATATTTGTTGTTTGTGCTTTTCTTGCATTTTTCTTCCCTGTGTTGTTACTAGGGAAAAAAAGCGAACAAGAATTAAAAGATGAAGAAATGGATTTATTTACCAAATACTATTCCGAATGGAAAGGAGGTAGCAAAAACACAAACGAATTCTATAAGACCATTCCCCGGTTTTATTACAGGGTAAGTGATATCTAAGTGGTATTTCTGTATCTGTAAATGAAATGTAATTTCAAAAATGCAATCCAAAGCATATGTTTTTGTAATAGGGTATTAAATTGAGCACTTTTATATATTATTACCCTTGATTTACCACTGTGATAAAACACTTTGAAGCCACTAAGATCTTGGACCAATAAGTTGGTACAAGAAGGCAGTTATCCCTTTTCTGAGCTTTAGGCTCTTCCAATTTTTATTATAGAGATGAGTAGTGAGTATGCTATTTGGTGATGTAGTCTCAGCAAGCATGCTGACTACCCAGATTGTGAAGCTAGTTCTACTTAATTTGATATTGACGGAAGGTGACTTTTGGAATGTGTTTTTAGTTGCCAGCGGAAG